CGGTACATGGGCCTCTCACTGTTGCGGCCTCTCCCGTTGCGGAGCACAGGCTCTGGACGCGCAGGCTCAGCGGCCATGTCTCACGGGTCCAGCCGCTCTGCGGCATGTGGGATCTTCCTGGACTGGGGCATGAACCCGTGACCTCTGTACCGGCAGGCAGACTCTCAACCACTGCGCTACCAGGGAAGCCCCCAAGCCAATTTTAAATGTAAATGTAGTTTTGCTATGGTGATGAAAACATTAAGGGTATTAAACCAGTATGTCACAACTTTTATTCTTTTTTTTTTTTTAAAAAAAAGAAACAACGTTTTTAAAAAAATATATTTATTTATTTATTTGTTTATTTGGTCGCATTGGGTCTTAGTTGCCGCACACAGGATCTTCATTGTGGCATGTGGGATCTTTAGTTATGGTATGTGGGATCTTTAGTTACGGCATGAAACTCTTAGTTGTGGCATGTGGGATCTAGTTCCCTGACCAGGGATCAAACCCAGGCCCCCTGCACTGGGAGCACGGAGTCTTAGCCACTGGACCACCAGGGAAGTCCCGCAACTTTTATTCTTGAGCTTGCCTAGAACCCAATAAATACAGACTTTTGAAAGTTAGAATTAAGATATATGCTATTCTACTTAGCAGTGTACTTTGCCCTCCACAGGAGATTTTGCCATTATATTTAATGTCGCACTGTGAGCTATCCCATATTTGTTTCCGTAGATATATTTGCACTTCTGTGTTAATAAAAGAAAGAAATACAGCTTCAATGGAGAGGGCAACCCTGAGTACCTAACTGCCTTTACCAAAACTGGGGTTTTCTTGCCTTTACCGATTAGCTCATCATATTTCTAAGGTGCTCTTGACTCCGAGAATAGCACTGGAGGTTCAAGTTGTTTATGACCTGAATATTTGGTGAGGGTGACAAGTAGACCACGGAGTCTTGATAAACAGACTGGGTTAAAAATGTACAGTATGCACAGCCGTATTTCTATTATAGCTTCAAGGAGGCAGCTACAAATGCTTTGTATGCCAGAGACAGCCATGAAGGGGATACAGCAACTTTGAACAAGGCAATCGCTTAGGCTTGGCTACGAGGTACAGATGAAAGATAACTACGTATGCCAGCTCTGTAGGACTGATCCAACCGCCCACTGCCTAAGTATAATTCTAGGATTCAGTCAAGGAGCTTAGCTGCTGGGACTCCAGTGGTTTTCAGCTTCAGGGAGGCTCCCTGGCTACTGGGAGGGACCGCGTGGGAGGACAGTTACTCTTCCTCCAGTCTGGCAGATGGTTTATGCTGAGATGGTTTATGCTGGCGGACGGGATGAGTGGCTACCTCAGCTCTGCAGTGTGTGTGTGTATCACTGCTAGTGCTTGCAGAGTGGCTAGTGACCATGCCCCTGTCTTCTAGGACAGAAATTTTCACTCTTTTTTTATTTTATCTTATTTTATTATTATTATTATTTTTTTTAAATTTTTTTTGCGGTATGCAGGCCTCTCACTGCTGTGGCCTCTCCCGTTGCGGAGCACAGGCTCTGGCTGCGCAGGCTCAGCGGCCATGGCTCACGGGCCCAGCCGCTCCGCGGCATGTGGGATCTTCCTGGACCGGGGCACGGACCCGTGTCCCCTGCATCGGCAGGTGGACTCTCAACCACAGCGCCACCAGGGAAGCCCTTCACTCTTTTTTAGACTATCAAAAAGAAGTTTAAAGTTTCCATTAGCTCTGGACTGCTTGTGAGTCACCGTATTGATAGTATGTTCTGTCACATTTCAGAAGGATATGTGATCGGTTTGACTACTTTGGATGAGAAAGTGAATTCTTGGTACTTGAAGCTTTGACTGCACGTTGTCTGGGTACTTCTAGAGCAGAGTTCTCAACTCGGCACTATTGAAGCCCTACAGTTCGTTGTTGTAGGGGGCGCCCTATGCTGTGTAGGATGTTTTAGCAGCATCCCTGCCCTCTACCTACTGTTTGCTAGAGTCGCCTCCCTCCCAGTTGTGACAACCAAAATGTCTCCAGACATTGTCATATGTCCCCCAGTTGAGAACCACTATACTAGAATGATGGCAAACTGTCAACCAGCTTTGCCTTCAGAGGGAGGAAGGTGTGCAAATCTATCAGACCTGACACAGCAGTAGCAGTAACATTGTAATAGAAAAGGAATAGATTGCCATGTTGTAGTCATAGATTAATGAATAATAACATTATAAAATCCAAGTTTTGCCCAGCGATAACTTATAATTAGTTATCCATTACAGCACACAGACTACACCCCGATGTACAGCCTTCTGGATTAAGTACCATTGTCCCCGGTTTTGAAACGTGAAAACTGAATTCAAGACCTAAATAGGTTCAAACTCCCCAAACGCTTACTTTGCAAGGTAGTTAACTGTCTTCTTGTCTCATTCAGTGCCTTGTATCTGGCTTAGGTCTTCCTTTTCAATTTCTTCTGAAGCTAAAAACAGTCTTCCTCCCTGTAATAGTTTCTACAGCTGCTGTAGCAAAGTACCATAAACAGGGTGGCTTAAAACAATAGGCATTTATTCTCTCATAGTTCTGCAGGCAGAATTCTGAAATCAAGAAACTGGCAGGGCCATGCCCCTCTGAAGGTGGTGCTTGTGGCAGCGTAACTCCAGTCTCTGCCTGTCTTCATCTGGCCTTCTTGCCTCCTGTGTCTCTGTGTGTCTTAAAATCGCCCTCTCCTTATAAAGACACCAGTTATTGGATTTAGGGCCCACTCTAATTCAGAATGGTCTCATCTTAACAGATTCCATCTGCAAAGACCTTATTTCCCAATAAGGTCACATGGGACGGCACCAGGGGTTAGGGCTTCAACATATTTTTTGGAGGACACAGTTCAAACT